CTCTGGAGGTCTTCAAAACCCACCCAGATATGACCCTGTGCCCAGTGCTTTGGGTGTCCCTGCTGGAGCAGGGGGTTGGACTAGATGATCTCTAGAGGTCCCTTCCAACCTCAACCATTCTGTGATTCTGTGAGTTCATAATTATAATTTGTGGTCACTCAAGTGTGAAGGGGGACATTTCAGCTTTAGAGAAAACTTACCTGTTCCTCCCTTTGCATACAGCTGACATGGGCATGTTATAAACCTGCACTGCTGTCCTGTCGTTATTCTCTGAAATGTTCTGCATATGAGGGGCATATTGTGGTAGGGAAGAATAGATTTCTAGATGTGAGATTTAGCCAGAATCTGATCATCCTTAAGTCATCTTCAAGGCCGTCCTCTTTTCCTCTTTTTTTACTTAGTTTCATGAATAATTTTTTGAGAATGGCTTCTTTAATTTTGTCATAAAGTCTGTTGTTCATCTTTCAAGACATCAGGAATGCATGAAATCCTAGAACAGCTAGTGAAATAATATGTTGCATCACTTTTTAGTCTCTTCATACTTAGATATCCCTTCCTTCTTCCTCCTTCCCCACCAAAAGAAGCCAAAACATTGGAGCACAAGTGAAAGGGCATTGTGCTCGTTATGTGACACAGATAAGAAAACAGAAAGTTATGGTGATAAAAGTCTGCAGCAGAAGAGAGTGTTTTGTTATGGTTTATATTGAGCAGCATTTTGCACAGCCTCTTGAGCCATAAATATTTCAATGGAAGTCCTTTCAGAGCAGTGGGGAGTTGCAGTGAACACGCAGGGACCTAGTAATGTGGTGGTTGTTCTCAGTTGCAAATGGAGAATGGCATTAGGCAGAACCTTTTATCCATCCCTTCCAATCTCCCAAACCCTGTTGATTTGTTTAGGAGGGTCAGTAAATGAAGGCCGTGGTAGACCCTATCCATCAAAAAGCGGACTCGCAGAGCTTTGAAAATCAACGTGAAATGCCCCTCAAAATGTTTAATATTTTTGCTCTCCATTATTTTAGTATTCATATGAAGATGAAAATAATGTATTTTCTCATCAGAACTTGTCACTTTTTATTTGCTAGGTATTTTTTACACCTGTATTTTTAATGGAGTGTGAAATTAAAATGAACATTCATGTTTTCTTTGTGGTACCAGTTTTTCAGTTGGTGGTAATACAAATGAGCTTATGAACAAAGTTTTCTTCCTGATTATTTTGACCATAAGATAATCATTTATTATGATTATAATTATTAAGAATTTATTTAGTCCTGGTATAGTCCATAGATACAGCTACCTTTTYGTTGGGAGTAATAGGATTTTGACAAGTAATTAAAAACTTACAGATTGTTCTTCAACATCATTATTGCAGCATGCCAAACTGCATTTGGCTCTAAGAGGTTGAAAACCCCCTTTGGAGTTCCCTGTGATCTTGCTGATAAGCTATAGTGGGAAATCTCAGAGGAATTTAACTAAAAATCTTTGCCTAAACACAGCTATGTCCTGCTTTTCACAGTAGTGTCAATCTAGTGTGTCCTATGACTTAGACTTAAATCCTCAAGAAATGTAGTYCTGTCCTCCAAGACAGGTAGTCCTGGAGAGCCCACCAGTTTTAGCCCTTAGCATTTCTGATCCTGGCTGTAAACCATAAAACTGATAGTAGGCAAAAATGTTCTTATCTTGTTTAATTTTCCAGTTTGTTTGATGCAGAGATGAGTGGAGGTACAAGTATTTGTAGGGCTTTTCTTTGTCACAGTTTGCATGTTGCTTGTTAATAAGCACACACAAACAAGRGGTGACCTTAGTATCCCCATTAAAGGAAGAATCACACAACATGCAGGAGTGGTTCTCCTACTCTGCACCTGAAAAAGGATGTCATGTGAGAATTTACCTTTTTATTGCTACTGATTTGTTATTTTTTGCAATTTAAAATGAAAGCATTGTGATTCTTTTAATATATTTTTGATRACTTTAAGCTTTACCAGTAGTATATGTAAGTTACAATGGTACTTATTGGTGGTGACAGGGCTTCTTGCTACTTAAATCAGCAGATAAACTTCATTTAACTAAATCAATTCTTTCCACCTTTACTTTAAAGAGACTACCTCCTATGAATGTGCAGATTTATAGACTGGCCCTAATGTCTGGAGAAATTTAGTTTCCAAGTATGCTAGAGAAGAATAGCCTAATGAAAGGAAGACCATAGAAATATCAAAGATGATCTCGGGATATTTTCAGTTGTTTGTTAGAGTATCAGTTCTATTTCTATTTTCCAAGATAAAGCAAAGATATTAAGAGGGATAGGCTCTTATCTTGTGTTACATATCCCCTTTTGTTTCTTTAGCATTAGGTGTTCAAGCTTATGACAGTCACYCCTAGCTTTAACACAAAAGCTTTCCCTTCACAAGCACAAATACTCCTTTTACTGTAATCCTCCAGGAAATTMTTGAGGCAAAAATATGTTTGAGATATTTTTCCACAGTGTTGTCCTATATAGATGATAACTGCTTGGAAATAATGGTCTTTAGCACTGTCTCTTGTAAAGTCTAGGTGTACTTAACCAAAGATCAGAAACACCAGGAGGGTATCTTCCACTGGATCGTGTTTAACATCCTCTACTGCTTGGGAAAGCTGTGTTTGCTCTAAGCTCCTTACCATGCGCCATGGTAGGCTCAAAAGGTTAATGTAGAGTGGTGACATCCTTTTGCTCACATGTTGAAAAAGATACTGTTTTTAAAAAATTATATTTTTTCCTACTGTGTCCTGGAACATCCTTAAAAGTCTTCTTATATTACCAAGCAGATCTGACATTGTTTGGGCTTTTCCTAAGGCAAGACTCAGTTTGATGGAGCCGTGATGAATATTCATCTTAGCTATTTTCTGCCTTTTCTTTCCTCATTCCCTCTTCATCTTGTTTTATCTAGCCAAGAGAGAAACTTGTAGACTGTGGATCTCTGTTACACTCACATCCTCTTCCACTTTCTGTTTTTTATTATCTTTATCTTTTGTCATGGAAACATGAAAATATTTATGCCATGTGGTCACAGAGAGTCTATCCTCTTGTACTTCTACTCCATTCTGAAATGAAGGGGTTACTGTCCCCAAAATTAAAACTGTATTTATTATCACTGCCCACACAGCAAATCTACAGAGGTCAACAAACATTATCTTGATGCTAAGCAGAGTCAGGAAGGAGGAAGAAGAAAGGCACTCGCTCATGTCTGAACTGCTATACAATGCTCTGAAATGTGTTTCACTGTTGATTTCAGTCTCCACTGAAAAAAGTTCATCTCTACAGAATATTTTAAGCAAATCCACCAATTTTTCTCCACTGACATCTTGGCTATGTCTTGGAGCCATGGATTTCATGACAGGGGGCTCAAATTTTGCTTCCGTCCCATCTAAACATGATGTGAGTCACTCAGGTAGTAGTTGTCTCTGAAAGTGTCTGAGACCTATTGTTGCTGTTAATATTTGTACCACTTGCTTTTGGGATAGTCTTTATGTGTAAGACAGAAATTTAGTGAAGAGCAATGCCCTTTTATGAGCAGTTGTCTACACTAGAGAAGATGGATGTTGCAAACTGTACTGTGATGGGACCGTGTAAGTGGAAATGTATATAAAGTCATCTCAGCTTTGGGTTTGTAAGCATTGAAGTTTTCCAAGTTGAAACCTCAGCTTGACCGGAACTCTGGTGAGCATTGTCAAGATACTAGTATGGATGGATTGCATCCACAATGCAATCTTGTTAGATGCAGTTTAGTCTATTTAAAGCAGGGCTATCTAAACCATGGTTTTGGGAGATAGTATTGGAAAATGCTTCCAGGTCTCTATCATTTTTTGAAACTGAGGACCACCTTCTGAAATTCTTAACCTACTGCTTCCTGGAAAGAAATAATAAATATTAAGCTCTCAATCAATTTGCTTTAGCCACTACAAAAAAAATAGCCTTGGGGAAAGGGTGAGGAAGCAGAGGAACCTCATTTCACCACTTCTTTAGCTCTCCTCAGATCTCAGTGTGTCAAAGGGGAGATGGCAACTGATTTAAGCTAGCTGTGACTACCACAAGATTTCTCTCATATATATATATAAATTGAGTGATTTTTTTTAAAGAAAATACTGCCCCGAGAAATGCCTACATGCAGTTAGACCATGGAGCAAACTAGTCTAGCAGACTGATATCAAACAGTCTGAGGATATTTTACTTCAAAGTTTATATTCCAAGCTACAGCGACATGCAATTGCTACTTTTAAAAATATTTTGTGTGAGTGGACTAAATTGTGCATCTTCGAAGCATTAGCCCTTTTTGCTGTCAGTGTGTATTTTGAAATTGCAAGAAAAGAGGATATACAGTATCGACAATTTGTTCAAAAGAAACTGAAAACTGCACTTCTTAACTGAGAGGGCTTTTGTTCCTGTCTACCAGCATYCTTGTGAGTGCACGAGGGGTTTGAAAAGGTGCCACTGCTATGTGGCTGTGTGTCATTTGCTTTTGCTCCCTCTCKAGAAGGACTTCTTATTTTATTCTTCGTAACGAGCTCCACCAGAGAGGTTTAGTGTTTCTCTTCATTTTCAGCCTTTTAAATGATAATGCAGGATTCGTGCTATCACATCAGCAGAAGCTGCTGTGGATTGATGGGACCCCATCAGCCACCCTGCCCACTCAATATTATAAAGATTTGTGTCGTCAGTGGTCATGACGTTGGGTAGGAAGTTGCCCATTTATGGATACTAGAGCAAATGATATCATCACAATAGGTGGCTCCTGTCTAAATAGGATCATTTGTGAAATGAAATTACAGGCATTTATCTAGGAAACAGGAGACAGAGGCACCTGCTTTATGTAATTGATATCCTAGGGAATTATTGTGTACAGTAATCAAGAAAAATCTTCATTTCTAATTCTATTATGTGGGAAAAAAACCTTTTTTTTTCCTGCCTGCACAAAACAAATCCCACTTCCACATGGAATAAGCTCCAGACCGTGTTTTCTATTATGCTTGAATATATGGGACATGCATTGCAATCCTATGCTTGCCACACTGCTGCAGTATACTTGTTTTGCAGAGCTCTGTAGCAGGCTAGTCAAAGCTGTGACTAACCAGATCCTTGGATACATACTCTAATCTCTGGTCTTTATTTTTGCAATGAATTTGATTTGTTCATTGATTGTATATTTTTTCTGATTTGTGAGAAGCTTCATGCTCTGTATTTGGATGCTGCCTGCAATACAACAATAGTCTTTAATACGGTAAGTCAAAGATGACTCATTTCTTACTCTCATGCCTTCAATTTATACTTTCTACAGCACCATATAATCAGGTAGAAAATTATGTTTTAATTAACCTTAAAGTAGTTAATTTTCAACAGATGCCTTCTCCTCCCTCCCCCCAGTACTTTGCACCATGATTTTTTCCTCCCCATGAAAGCAGTAGGTTCAAACTGTCTTTAAGTAAAATGCATTTGCTCTGTTATTTTTAAGAATATTGCCAGCATTTTGCCATATGCTTTAATTTCAGCAATAGACAGGAAAATAGACTGTACATGCATAATTGCAACTTAACATGTGATGCTAAAATAGGATAAGTTCAGTTCAATATTAGTGTTTATTACAGTGAACACATTTTGAAAGGCAAGAATCTTTTTAGGATTAACAGTTTGGATAAAGTAGAAGGGCTTTGGTTTTCATTTGAGAATGAACACGGTCAGGTACCTGCAGTTACAAGAGGCTTTATTTTAAGTGAAAGCAGTGGAGAGAAAATGTCTTACAAAAAGACAGTTTTCTTTGTGATGCAGCGTGCAGAAGAAGATTTGGTAGTACCTCTTACCGACTGCGCTAAATGAGATAGAAGAAGAAAAAAGAATTATTAGGTACACAGTGCTAGCATTAGGTTGTGCAGACATGGCAAATAAAATTGCTATCAAATAAAAATATTATTTAAAAAGCTTTTTAAACAGTCCTGTTATCACACTCAAAATAAGCCCTCTTTCAAATTGCTAACTTTTTAATTGTACACTAAGGGTTAAGATTTGGTCTAAGAATTTTTTAAAGAAACGTACTGTTGAGCAGAGGTCTGGAGGATCACTGGGTTACTAGGTCTGCTTTAGTAGGATTCATTCAGTCCTGGCTTTAGAACTGGGCAACTTTGGAGCAAGTTAACAGGGTTCAGGTGGACTGAAAGGTTTGGATTTGGGAAGTTTTTTCTTGTTTTCTTTTTTTTTTTTTTTTTCCTCTTTCCCCTCTTCTTTCTGTCCCCCTTGTCTGAAACTTGTCAATAGTAATTTTAATTTCCCGTAAGTAGCAGTCCTTCTAATTAGGATATGCCTTCCACAAACGAACAAGTGAACTGTATTTGCCAGTAAAAGCTGTTTCCAGCGATACAGTGAAATAATAGGTAACTTTTAAAAGTTATTCAGGAAAATAGACAAAAAGAGAGAAGAAAAGTGAGGTCTGTATGAAATAAAACCAAAGATATAGGCTGGTTGTCATATATTGATAAGTTTTAATTACTGTAGATTTTTCACTTCTTCTATTAAGAATTTTTGAGGTTCGATTTCTTTATTACGAATGTGGTTAGCTTGCAGACATGCATTGCTACCAGCTCTTGCATTTGCTCAGAATTTGTTCATGGATCCATATCTGTCATGTTTTCTTGTCATTTGAGACAGCCCACGTCCTCTTTATTTAGCAACAAGTGATCAACCTGATCACKAAGTGCCCGGTGCAGCGCATTTCAAAATGCATGCTCTGAAATATAAAAGCAATTAAATGATATTTACCAGGCTTATTAAACCTACATCTTTAGCAAAGTTTGTGGCTGCAGGCATCCTGTTCTGAATTAAACATGCTATTTTAAAACGCTAGAGGCAAAAGAAGGTACCTCAGCTCATGAGCATGTTAGCAGTAGCATGCCACCAGGCACTATCCTTTGCTTTTGCAAATAACCCATAGAATAATGGCTGTTTTCATCTAAAAATTGCATAACTAAGTCTGCTTAATATGCTTTATGGAAATTATTTCACTATAAATGCCTCCTAAAGTGATCTAGAAAAAATAAGACTTTTTCCTAGATTTCATTTATGCATGTTAAGTAAAAGCGGTAGGAAAGTGGCACATACTGGATGTAGATGCCAAATTACATGCTGTATAATTCAGTCATATAATCGCTATATACCTTAGCTGATCAAATTTTAAATAGCAAGAGGTTTGCAGCATGCGTCTGTTACAGAATAAATATGAACAGATGACAGTGTAGTCATTGCTTTTCATAGTCCACCTACAATTTAAAATTCTTTTTTTTTTCCAAAAAATATTAATAGTTGTCTCTCAGTTTTCCCTCTGACTTGTATTTTTTCACTGAAGGTCAGCAAATTTTACAGAAGGATTTTTTAAAATAAAATAATTTACGAATAATAAAAGGAAAATCAACATAATTATAGTAATAATTATGCTGAAAGACATGTAAGTGAAACCACTCCATCTGTTATGTTTAAAACAGTACCTACAGTTATTAATTGAATTTAACAAGCATAGAGAAGGAGGAATGGTCATTGCAGAGCATACAATGTTCCACTTTTGCTTTATCTAATAAGTTTTTAAAATATATATCTGGGAGTCACACAGCTATGTTATATAGATTACATCATACCAGTCATGCTTCATAAATTTTCCTTAATTATGTTATCTGTAGCCGCCTTATATTGCCCATATGATAGAAATCTTAACCGTATTTTTCTGAAAATTTTATCTATATTCTTGAAGTTTACCTTCTTAAACACTTAATATTATGCTCTTAACTTAATCGTGGCAATAAGTTTATTTAGTTAATAGTTAGATTCTATGTTCAGAGAGATGTCCCGGTTATCGTTTGAGATGTGAATAATAAGGAAGCTAAAGCGTGGACACAAGAGAAGAAACAGGAGCCACAAGAAGAAACAGGATTAAAATCCTGTCTTGTGAGTAGTAAGGAGAATCAAGTGGCTTTTTACACTCAGTTTTAAAGAAAGTTCTGTTCACTGATAGGAGTTCAGTATGACGAAGGGTCTACTAGCTTCATTTGCTCTGAAAAACATGGGCAATACTTCTTTTCTTCCCTTTTTTCTTTTTTTTTTCCTTTATGCACTTCAAAATGCTGCCCAAGGTCAGTGCGAAGGGGTGGAGTATGTACAAGCCCACACATCCTCGAACACAGAGCCCATGGCTATGTCAAATTGAATCGCTTTTAGCTTCTTATTGTGTAGTATCCAGTATTCCTACCTACATCATGGAAGGATTTGCATTCAGTGGTCCAGTACGAATTATATCCATTATATAATATAATTGTCTTTGACAGATATGCTTGCAGAATTGATATTAAAGCCTGAAAATCATACAGGACAGTGTGAAAGCCAGCAAAGTGTTCAGGAGGCAGCAAAGCRATTGTGCTTAGCAAGCCATTAGTTCCTCGCAGCATTACATTATCCAGGTACAAATAGGGTAACATGTCGCTTACTGCCAGACAACCTCATCAGAGCATTTGGTGACATGTTGGGAGAAGCAGGTAGCAGTTCATAGATGGCTTTTGTTGAAAGAAAGTGAAACTGCATCGTAGTCACCATTAACATCTTCAAGGATATAGTTTGTAATTAATAACTGCAGTGTTTACGGTAGCAGTAATTAGTTGCTAGATCAAAGTCCAAAGGACTTACAGGTGACCATTGCTCGTCAAAACATCCAAAGCAGCATTCACGCATCCTGCCTTCTCATGCAATTCCTGTGTTACTAGATTCACAGTTTAGATGATGTGTATGGCAACGTGTTGTGAAYGCAGTTAGCGTTCTCTGCCTTCCCAGCCCTTGTCACTCTACTTGTCTGTTGATACRAGAGCACCAATGCCCTTTATAAATTAAGGTTCGCTTTCTAGGTGACCACCRTCGTCACTCCCTTGGTGTCTAGGGCTCAAACAGGCTTTGGTTGAAGAGATGGGGACACCCTGGCCGGGTCCGAGGCTCCGCACRGGGACAGGGGAGCCGGGTGGAAGGCCGGTGGCGCAGAGAAGGCCAGGCTGGAGGCCAAGCTGGAGGCCAGGCCTCCGGCAGGCCCCCCTGAGGCAATGAAACACTCACAGGAGACACCTTCTATCAGAAAGCCCCTTTTGCTCTGGGATTCTCCCTTCAGAGGAGAGGACTGGGTTGACCCGCTGTCCCTTGCTGCCTGCAGGAGCTGAGCGGCCCGGCTATCCCGTCCCTTCTCCAGAGGTGGCTCTCAAAGCCCAGTCTCTTCCGTGCGTTCTTTGCCCTACAATTTTTGTTGATAACTCTTTAAATGGGATATTGTCATCTTRACAATCATTTCCTCATCTGATTTGTTTTCCTTCCATCCGCCCAACTGCTGGTAGAAGTAATAGCCAAGAACTAGCAGAAATTAAAGGCATATTTTTTCTGTTTACTCGGTGTGTTTGACAGCATTTTGTATCTGTTCAGTCTCGCTGTTTCCTCAGTGCAATCATTTGGCTTCTTCCCATTTGTACAGGCTTAGGAGCAGCTGAAGGGAGAAAACATCCTAAACCATGAGAAATAACACTGTAATATAGTAAAGATCGGCAGTCAAAGTAGCTGAACCTTATAGGGGTTCTCATTTTTATTGATTATATGGAGTCAGGGGCATTTTTCTTATAAACATGTAATCCATATACATTCTGATAGACTTAATGAAAGATAAGTTATACCTTGCAGTTAAACAATTAATTTCTGTTATTGCCCTGAACTGCCTTCTAAGCATGTATTTCCCCTCTAGACTTCCTTTCTGCTTTTTCGGTGGCTTAATGAAGAGGAGTGAAGCTTTGATGTATTTTTGTTACCAGTGATGTGTTCGTGTGAATGCCTGGTGGTCTCTTTATCTTAATTTGTGGCACTGTTTCAGTTTTGCTTTAGCAAATCCATTTGAAGAGGTTTTCCTCCTGCCCACAGCTCCTTCTTCTTTCCTGGTCCCCACCAGAATTGCCTGTGGTTGCACCGACTTGGCTGTTTCTGTGACCACACTCTAAACCACAGCTTTGAAGAGACTTGCTTTTTTAAAAGCACGTGCGGGCGTGCTTAATGGGCCTTTTTTTTTTTTTTTTTTTTTTTTTTTTTTTTTTTTTTTTTTTTTTTTTTTTTTTTTTTTTTTTTTTTTTTTTTTTTTTTTGCATAGATTCATTTTCCCTTGACTGTCCTGTTTCACACTTCCATCTTAAAGTACGTCAGATAACTTGTTCATTAGCACACCTTGAG